ATGCTTGCTGAAGGTTTTAGATAAATGCTATTTATTTTAAGGAAGACTCCATTTATTCTTATGTTCTCTAGTGTTTTTAAAAGGAATGGGTGTTATATTTTGTCAAAAAATTTTTCTGCATCTATTGAGATGATCACGTGGTTTCTGTTAGTTTTGTTGTTGATATGATCAATTATGCTGATAGTTTTCCTAATATTGAACCAGCCCTGCATTCCTGGTGTATATCCTACCTGGTCATAGTGTATTATTCTTGTGATAAGTTGCTGTAATCTATTTGCTAATATTTTATTTAAAACTTTTGCATCTATATTCATTAGGGAAATTAGTCTATAATTTTCTTTCTCTATTTTGACTCTTCCTGGTTTAGGTATCAGCACCATATTTGTATCATAAAAAGAATTTGGTAAGACTCCTTCTTCACCTATTTTCCCAAATAGTCTATATAGTATTGGAATTAATTGTTCTTCAAATGTTTGATAGAATTTGCCTGTAAATCCATCTGGCCCTGGAGATTTTTTCCTAGGGAGTTCATCAATGGCTTCTTCAATTTCTTTTTCTAAGATGGGGTTCTTTAAGTATTTTACTTCTTCAGTTAATCTGGGCAATTTATATTTTTGTAAATATTCATCCATTTCACTAAGATTGTCAAAGTTATTCGGCAAAATAGTTCCTAACTACTGTTTTAATTTCCTCTTCCCTGGTGGTGGATTCATTCTTTTCATTTTTAATACTGGTAATTTGGTTTTCTTCTTTCTTTTTCTTTTAAATTAACCAAAGGTTTATCTATTTTATTGTATTATTTATTAGTTCAATAGTTTTCTTAATTTCAATTTTATTAATTTCTCCTTTGGTTTTCAGTATTTCTAATTTGGTATTTAATTGAGGATTTTTAAGTTGTTATTTTTCTAGTTTTTTTTAGTTGCATGCCCAATTCATTGATCTCCTCTTTCTCTATTTTATTCATGGAAGCATTTAAAGATATAAAACTTACCCTAAGAACTGCTTTTGCTGTATCCTATAAGTTTTGGTATGTTGTCTCTTTATTGTCATTCTCTTGAATGAAGTTATTATTGTTTCTATGATTCACTGTTGTTTTTTTTAGGATTAGATTATTTATTTTCCAATTATTTTTTAGTCTTTCTGTGACCTTTTATTACATAAAATTTTTATTGCATCATGATCTAAAAAGGATGCATTTAATATTTCTGCCTTTCTGCATTGGATTGTGAGGTTTTTATGCCCTAGTACATGGTCAATTTTTGTGTATGTGCCAGGTACCACCGAGAAAAAAGTATATTCCTTTCTATCCCCATTCAATTTTCTCCAAAAGTCTACCATACCTAACTTTTCTAATATTCTATTCACCTCCTTAACTTCTTTCTTGTTTATTTTGTGGTTAGATTTATCTAGTTCAGAGAGGGGGAGATTGAGGTCCCCCACTAGTATAGTTTTGCTGCCTATTTCTTCCTGTAACTCCCTGAACTTTTTCTCTAAGAATCTGGATGCTATACCATTTGGTGCATATATGTTTAGTAATGATATTACTTCATTGTCTATGGTGCCTTTTAGCAGGCTGTAGTTTCCTTCTTTATCTCTTTTGATAAAATCTACTTTTGCTTTTGCTTTGTCTGAGATCAAGATTGCTACTCCTGCTTTTTTCACTTCAGCTGAAGCATAATATATTCCACTTCAGTCTTTTTACCTTTACCCTTTGTGTGTCCCTCTGTTTTAAATGTGTTTCCTGTAAACAACACATTGTAGGATTATGGTTTTTAATCCATTCTGCAATGCACTTCTGTTTTATGGGAGAGTTCATCCCATTCACATTCACAGTTATGATTACTATCTGTGTCTTTCTCTCAGTCCTATTTCCCCGCTATTTATGTGTTTCTTTCTCCTTTCTCCCTTTCCCTTCTCACTAGTGTTTTGCTTTTGACCATGCCTCCCTCAGCCCTGCCTCCCTTCTATTACGCCCCTCCCTTTTCTTCCCCTTTACCCTTACTACTTCTTCCCTCCCTTCTATTCCCCCTCCCTTTTTTTTCCCTTTTCCCTCCCACTGCCTATACCTGCAAGTTAGATTTCTATACCTGATTATGTTTTTCCCTCCTTGAGCCAAATCTGATGAGAGTATGGTTCAAACAATGCTTATCTCCCTCCCTTCTTTCCCTGTAACTATAATAGGTTTTTGTGCCTTTTTCTGTAATTTACCCTTGTCTGACTCCTCCTTTCCTTTTCTCCCAGTACAATCCCTTAATCAGATCTGATCAATCCACTTACTTAGATCCATTTAACCCACTTGATTAGATTTTTTTTATCATTACATCAAAATCAACTTATACCCACCCCCTCTATGTATACCCCTTTAAAATGGTGTAATAATAATACAGTTCTCAAGGCTTACAAGTGTCATCTTCCCTTGTAGGGATGTAAACAGTTTGCCCTTATTAATAACATGTTGTTCTTTTTTTCTGTCCTGTTTACCTTTTTCTGTCTCTCTTGAGTCTTGTATTTGAAAATCAAATTTTCTGTTGAGCTCTGGCCTTTTTATCAGGAAGGTTTGGAAGTCCTCTATTTTGTTGAATGTCCATCTCCTCCCCTGAAAGATTATACTCATTTTCCCTGGGTAGTTGATGCTTGGTTGTAATCCCAGCTCCTTTGCCTTGTGGAATATCATATTCCATGCCCTAAAGTCTTTTAAAGTAAAAGCTGCAAGGTCCTGCGTAATCCTGACTATGATTCCATGATATTTAAATTGTTTCTTTCTGGCTGCTGGGCATTATACTTTACAAGGCTTCCTTCACATTCATTTTTACATTTGATTCTCTCAATTAGTGAATTAGAATAAAACAGAAGTTAGTACATTCACTTTAGGGAGACTTTAGGGAGGGAAACCTGAGCTATAAAAGGAGAAATGAGATCACAGGGTCAAACAGCTAGATAGCCAGATAGTGAAGGAAAGCGGGCTTGAAATCCAAGTCACCGTATCCTTAACAATATTCTTTCGGTTGTTATTGTTCAGTAGTTCAGTCGTCTGACAAGTGTGGGGTTTTCTTGGCAAAGATACTGAAGTGGTTCGTCATTTCCTTTTCCAGTGGATTAAAGCAAACAGGAGTTAAGTTACTTGCCCAGGATGATATAGCTGGTGAGTGTCTGAGGATGGATTTGAACTCAGGTCTTCCTGACTTCAGGCCCAGCACTCTATCTACTGAGCCATTTAGGTGCCTTCATAATATTCTTTCTACTATAACATTATTTCCTGTTAAGGCTGGCATTTCTACAAAAGCCATTCCTCAAAAGATAAATGGTCAAAGGATATGGACAGGTAGTTTTCAAAGGAAGAAATCAAAGCTATCAATAATGACATGAAAAAAAAATGCTCCAAATCCCTAATAATGAGAGAAATTCAAATGAAAGCAATTCTCAGGTTCCACCTGAGGCCCATTAGACTGCCTAAGATAGCAAAAAAAAGAAAATTAAAATTAAAATAGTTGGAGGCTCTTCTGGAAAAGACACACTGATAGACACGCTGTTGACTAAACTTTGAATTGGTCCAGCAATTTGGAACTATGCTCAAAAAATCACCAAAATGTGTATGCCCTTTGAGCCTGCAATATCACTACTAAACCCAAAAGTACAAAAATAGTTTTAATAACTTTTTTTTGTAAGTGAGGCAATTGGTGTTAAGTGACTTTCCCAGAATCACACAGCTAGTGAGTGTTACATGTCTGAGGCCAGATTTGAACTCAGGTCCTCCTGACTTCAGGGAGGGTTCTCTATCCACTGCACCACCTAGCTGCCCCTAACTTTTTTTTTAATAGCAGAAAAAGCTAGACACTAAGGAGATGCCTATCTATTGGGGAATAGCCAAAAAAATTATGGCATATGATGATAATAATAGCATTTATATATAGTGCTCTGAGGTTTGCAAAAAGCCTTATAAATATGATTTTATATTAGCCTCTGAGCAACTCTGGGAGGCAGGTGCTATTATTATCCCCACTTCACAGATGAGGAAACTGAGACAGATATAGGTGAAGTGATTTGCCCAGGCTGGTGCCCAGTCAGTAAATGTCTGAGGCCACATCTGAACTCTGGCCTTCCCAACTCCATACCCAGTGCTTGATCCACTGCGCCACCTAGATGCCTATGAATGTAATGCAATATAATTATGCCAAAAGAAATGACAAAATGGACATTTCTGCAAAGACTAAAAGATCTATATGAACTGACTACAAAGTGCAGTGAGCAGAACCAACACAATTTACACAACAAAACCATAAAAAAAAACAACTTTGAAAGATTTAAGAAGTGATTGATTCAGTGACCAACCATAATTTCAGAAAACCAAGACAAAACATGCCATCCAATTCCCAAGCTCCAGATACAAAATGAGACATTTTTGTATAAGGCCAATGTAGGAATCTGTTTCCTCTATTCAGCTTTAAAATGAAGTACAACCGGTCCCGACCTATCTTTCTAATCTTATTAGACACTCCCCCTTCTGTACCCTGTGGTCCTATAAAACTCGTCTTCTCTCTGTTCCTCACACTCAAGACTCTACTCATCACTGTGTCTTTGCCCTGACTGTCCTCCATGGCTGGAATGCTCTCTCCTGCCTCTGCTTCACAGAATTCTCTCTTCCTTCAAGAAGAAACTCAATCACCACCTTCTACACGTCTTTCCTGATAACCCAAACTACCTTGTATTTAGCAATCTTGTGTTTACTGCTATTGATTCTGCATATCCTTAGAGATATTTTGTTTCCCTAATAAGAATGAAAGCTACTGCAGGGTAGATTATTTCATTCTTTCTATCTGTGTCCTCAGGGCCTAGCACAGTGCCTGGCACAAGAGTAGGTGCCTAATAAAGGTTTGTTGATTGACAAGGAAAGAATTTAGAGCCAGACTATATATGACTTCAAATGCCTTGGACAGAAAATGGGGATCCCCTGAACGATTTTTGATCAAAGAAGTGCTGTGCCAAACCATGGTCTAATTTACCTGGTTGACCTTGAATCAAGAGAGAAGATGGAGGAGGGAAGACAGAAGGAAACTGGAATACTGGTTAGGAAGGTAGAGCTATAATCCAGATGTGCTGTGATGAGGACATGGAGTACCACAGTTGAGAAAAAAAAGAGGCACAGATGAACTGGAGAGATACTGTTGAAACATTCTTTTTCTGATTCTTCTCTATTTTTGTTTCCAATCTCAGAGGACAGGAGGCATTTGGTTTTCTACGACAGAAAAGCAGAGCAAGCAGTAAGTAGGATGAAGCCCAAGGAATTTTTTATATAGGGATAGTATAGCAACTGACAAATATTTGTTGATTTGATTTGTAACACCACCAAACAGGAGAGAGCTTAAAATTCCTAAGCTACTTGCATTAACACCCAACTCATTCTCTTAAATTAGACTTCCATCTTCTCTTCTCCTTGCTTTTGGTCTTTTCCCAATTTCTCAGCACCAACACCAGACAAAGAATCTATAAAGGAGATGAGCTTCTACCTGCCTGTTTTTTGAAGGGGTGGGGGGGGGCCTGGGGAATTGGAAAAGAACACCAAGTAGCTCTGGGAGAAATATCTATGAATTTCCTTCCCATCCACATGAAGAAACCCAATGAGTTATCAATACCAATCCTTTATTCTTCCACATAAGAAAAGTCTTTTCTTCCTCTGCTGGGAATCCCAAGCATTACAGAAGACTTCCAAAGCAAAGAATAGAATATGAAGTCTTGGCTTCCTTTCTGGCTGAAGGTCCCAAAATTCTATGGTTAACCACAATATCTTTAGAAAGGGTGTCTCTGATCAAAAGCTGTTCCCCAATTGATGCTGTTAAGTGGTCAAAGGATTTGAAGAAATAGTTCTTAAAAGAACTGCAAACTATTGCCATATTCACTAAGAGAAAGGAAATCAAAACAACTCCAAGGTTCACCTCACAACTGACAAAAATGCCAAAAAATGTGTGAGGGATAGAGCTATGAATTGATCCAACTATCCCAGAAAGCAATTTGGAATCATGCAAACAAAGTGACTAAAAGGCTCTGCTGGTATGCATGTAACTTAAAAAGATAAAGACCCCATATTAGGAGCAAAGAACTGAAAACAAAGTAGATGCTCAAACAGCTAAATAAGTCTGGCTACATGAAGACTTATTCACGTAGCCATGAATGCAATGTAATATTACTGTTCTGTAAGAAATTATGAATATGATGAATACACAGAAGCATGCAAAGACTTACATAAAGTGATTGATGCAGGGTGAAGAAAGCAGAGACAAGAAAATATACACAATAACTACAAAACAATATGAATGAAAAGCACCACCACAAAATAGTTAAAAGTGAATGTTGCAAAATTGCAAAAAAAAGTATGGCCCCTGGAACATTACATACATTTTTTATTTTTTTTAACGTATGGATTGGTTTTGCTAAATTATTTCTCTCTCTTTTTTTTTATTCTTTGTTACAAGGATTGGCTTTTTGGGAGAGGGAGAGGTTGCACTGGGAAATGTAGGTGATACAAAAAAAAAAAATTGTATCAATATGAAATGCTAGGTGGTACAGTGTTAAGACTGTTAGACATAGAGATAAGAAGGCCAGCAATCTAATCCTGCCTTGGACTCTAGGTGACCCCTTCTGACCTGTTTCCTTACCAGTAAAATGTAGATAAATAATAACAACCACCTCACAATGTTATGCTAAGGATCAAAAGAGATAACATACAAAGTACTCTGTAAACCTTCAAGGGCTATATTTAAAAAGGGAACTCTCTAGAGAGGAGAACAATGGACTATGAGCCACGCCCTCCAAAAGGATAAATATGAGAGAACTTTGGGTTTTTCTACCAACAAGCATATAAATAGCTACTACCTACCAGGAACTGAAGTGGATACAAGGACAAAAGCCAAATTGTATCCCTGTCCTCAAAGAGCTTACATTTTACCAGTAAGACAACAAGCACTGTACAGGTATAAAATACATGCAAAGCAGAATCAAAGTAAACTTGCAAGAGAACCATAACTCACTTTCTATGCCTATGGCCCCAAGAAGGGAGTCTGGACATTGACTCAGACACTGGGAAGGCTGTATATGGGAGACTAATTCATCCAGAGGCAAGGGGCTCAACCTCTCCTCCCAACCACCCTCGGTGCCTAGCAGTGAGTGTTCCTGGAATAACTCAACTTTTTTGGTATGGAATAGGGAATTAGTGGACTTTCTGACCTTTAAAACCAACCAGTTGCAGTGTGCACAAAATTCTGAGATGAGGACATAGTTATAGTACTTGATGAGATAATAGCAAGTACAATCTCTCATGATGTGAATGATAGTTATGGAGGGATATTACAATTATTGATTCAGAATCTCCATTCAGTAATAGCACTGGATAAAATGTTTTCTGTACCCAATTCAAGGTAACGTCTCAACCCTAACATGCCACTTGGGTATATAGTCACAGAATTGAGAATGGCTTTTGTCTTCCTCCTGTTCTGCTGCCATTTGAAAAAGCAAACCACAGAGATACTGGTCCATATTTTGGACCAACTAGAGGAATGTATCTTGCTACTGCTGAGCAAGTACAAAATTAAAATTAATAAGTATAGACTATGTTTCAAATTGTGCAAAAGTACAAAAGGGAGAATTTGTGAAAGCATATTAAAAACCTTCTTCTTAGTTTCTCTAGAAATAGTGAAAAATTTCTCCAGATGAAAACTCTTTCCAAACTCTTCCTTTCAGGAAAGTTGAAATCACAAAGGCTAAAGCCTTCCTGTGAAACGGAGCAAGCGCTATAACCAACCTCGACTCTTGTCTAGATGGGCTCACTGCCTTCCCTCCCATCTGGGGTGCCTGGTGCCATGACCCATGTAAGGACACTGTCTTCTTTTTTGAATTCTGAAGTACTTAAAGGGAGCAGTGCAGGAAGGAATTAAGTAGTTCCAGAATGTTAGCCCAAAACTATATTTTAATCTATTATGATCTTCTTCCTTTTTTCTAGATGCCTATAAATATTATGTCAAATTATCTTAGGGCGGAGAGTTATATCCTAGGACATGAAAGACTGCCATTTCTGGAGATCTTTCTTTCCAAGCTAGAAAGGCTTCAATATTTATAGCAGCTCTTTTTGTGGTGGCAAAGAATTGGAAATTGAGGGGATATCCATCAATTGGGGAATGGCTGAACAAGTTGTGGTATATGAATGTAATGGAATACTATTGTGCTGTAAGAAATGATGCAACCCTTCAGGACCCCATTTGACGTTTTCTTGGCAAAGATACTGGAGTGGTTTGCCATTTCCTTCTCTAGCTCGTTTTTTACAGATGAGGAAAGTGAGGCAAACAGGGTTAACTGACTTCCCCAGGATCAAACAGCTACTAGTTGTCTGAGGCCAGATTTGAACTCACAAAGGTGAATCTTCTTGGCTCTAGGACAAGCACTCTATACACTGTTAAATTCAATAAAATTGTTTCTGGCAGACTTGAAGAAAAAAGAGAGAAAAGCACTATCAGCTTGGAGGTGGGGGAGAGTGGGGAAAGATGACTAAAGAAAATTCATGCAGAAGACAATGGTTGAGCTAAAACTTGAAGGAAACCAGAAGTTCTAAGAGGAGGGAGAGCAGTCCAGGAGGAGAGGCTAACCTGGTGGGAAAATAGAGTGCAACATGTGAAAGGAGTAATGTGTAATAACTGAAGGAAGAAATACTCCTGCCCCTTTGGCAGTCTGGTGGAGAATCCTACCAACCCCGTCTCCAAAAAAATGTTTTCAAAGTCACAAAATAAAATATTACAAAGGAAAACAATTATATGGAAACAGTTATCAAAATACTAATAAAACAAGTTTACAAACCCCAGGTTAAGCAACCCTAGTTCTTGATTGGGAAAATAAGAACTGGTCCCAGGATCTTAGGAGAGAAAGGCACATTGCAGGATATCCAGTGTAATCACGGTATGATGAGAAACTCTCTTTACATACATTTTTTTTTTTTTGCTTTTTCGTGAGGCAATCAGGGTTAAGTGACTTGCCCAAGGTCACACTGCTACTAAGTGTTAAGTGTCTGAGGCCACATTTGAACTCAAGTCCTCCTGACTCTAAGGCCGGAGCTCTGTCCACTGCACCACCTTGCTGACAACATTTCTGACAAGTAGTCATCCAGCCTCAACTTTGAGATTTGGGGGACAGTGGGGGAAGAGGAAGAATGGGCAACTATTTAGTTTTCTCTCCTATGTTTAAATGCTAAATGCTAACTATCCTATTGAACAATGAAGGATTCTGGGAGGGGGGGGGTTATCAGGAAGAACCAGCTAAATAGCATCTTGGAAGCAAAGAGAACGACAGGCAGATTCTAGAACTGCTTCCCAACAACCTTTAAAGCCCCTCTCGGCTACCCACTTTGATAGCCAATTCCCCTGGCCCCGCCCCCTCTGCTGTCCACGTGACCCACTCAGATGCCCTCTACCAAGATGGCTGCCGGAATAGGCACCCTCTTCCTTTGCGCATGTGCGCTCCCGCCCCGACTCCATTGGTCCCGCCTCCCCGGCTGCACCTCTGGCCCTACAGCTTTCTTTCCCTCCCGCTTTCTCTCTCCTACCCGAGTCGGCTGGGCCCGGAAGTGGATGCCGCCGCTCGGCGGAGAGGACGAGGGGGAGGGGGAAAGTGCTTCCGGGGAAACGGGCCCCGGGCTGGTGTTTGTAAACTTGCCTCGGTCCCTGCGGGGGCAACGGCAACGGTGGGGCTGGCACCGGAGAGTGAGCACTGGGGGAGGGGTTCTCCCGTACGGGAACACTGCTGGAGGCTGCGCCCGGCAGGTAAGAGCCCGTCCCGGGGAGCAAACCGCGGCTCAGGCAGACGACTGCGCCTCAGGCCCCTTCACAGGCCGCGGGGGAGAAGCGCGGGCGCGTGCGGAGCAGGCGGGGGAGGAGGAGGAGGAGGAGGAGGAGGAGCAGCGGGAGGAGCGGCGGTGGACGGTAGCGCGCGCGCGCTCCTCTCTCCCCACCCCCTCCCGACACCCTACGCCCGGGCCCGGCCAATCCCGCTCGAACGCGCGCGCGCTCGGCCTCGTCACAGGGCCGAGGGGGCGGTGGGAGCGTCGGGCGCGAGCACGCAGCTCGGTCGCTCTCCTTCTTCGGCGCTCGGCGCTCTCGCGGCCCCGCGCCCGTCCTCAGCGCGCCGCCCTCCTGCCCCGGGGAGGTCGGGCTGCCCGCTGCGTCCGGGCACCCCCAGCG